GTTGGGGGCTAAGAACATGCTTATCTCCCTGAGCATGGCCTTCATAAGTCCATTACATCACAGCCTCACAAAGAAGGCCGCATGCGATTTGGACAAGGTGCAGGGGGGAGTTGAAGAGGAGGCAGAGGAGGCAGTCTCTTACCTTACTGAAGCTCAGGACTGGAAGGGACCAAGCCAGGAATAGCTTGGATTGGGATGGGTCCTTGCTTAGTATAGAAACATACTATACACAGATTTTCCCTCTGTTGTTTCAACGAAAACAGTCAAAAAGGAGGCAGGGAGAGGGATTGGTGGTGGGTAGGGGGGTGGAGATGGGGCATCAGTACTGAGAATAGGGGAATGAAGATAAAGTGAGAAGAAAACAGGAGAAGAAACAGAAAAACAGAGAAAAACATCCTAATCTTCCGGATAAGCTTCAAAGACACCTATGTGTTCAACAGGGAAGTCTATAATCCTGCCCCTTCTTTTGTTTTCACCAACTATGACAGTATATATGGCGTATATATCCTAAATAGGTTTAACTCTGCATACTGTACACTCTGTATTTCTGCTATATATTGCAGACCAATTTAAAATTGGCATTTTGTCAACCATTAAGCACTACATATTGTATACTTTATAGGCTCATCTTCTTTCTCTCCAAACTCAGGCCATTTAATCTAAAATTGGCCTTACTTATTTTGCCTTCAGGAAAAACAGCATATGACACATATTTATAGAGTTAAATCCAATGTTGAATTAACAGAATTTAATTCACACAGTTCTGTTTTTCCCTTTTAGCTTTCTCCTTATAGCAGAAGAACGAATTGCAGATTCATATGTTTCCAGGTTCCTTATAGTCCAGTTCTATACATATAGAAATAAACTCTACTGAATTTAATTGTGCAATGAGATTTATTCCCAAATAGGTTTGCATAGGATTGCAACTTTCAACTATAAAATTAGTACTGTTTGAGGTTTTTTATTTGTTTGACTTTTGAAAAGCTAGCAAAAACAATTGTTCTAGAACCTGAAGGCTGTTAATCCATTGGATAGTTTTTTGATCAGTGATTGGTATGTCTTATGTACCTTTCTCTACAAATATTTCTAAATATATCATTTGTCTGTAAAGAGGGATCAAGGCTTTTCTGCATATATGAGTCACAAAGAAAACAGTATTTATTACTGTACGTCTCATTTATTTCATCAACTTATTCTACTCTTCTACTTCTAAATAAGTTTTGAATAAGAAAACTACATGTAAATTTTCCCCTCATTCCCCCTTTCTAGACTTTTGTGTAGTTAGGAGACCTTTTTAAATTTTCTGGTTTGCAAAAAATTATGAGTTCTATAACATGATAGCATTTCAAATGATATAAATACTTAGTACCCTACTAAAATCTTGGTTAACCCTTACTTTTCAGATGCTATAATTTATTATGATCATTATCATATGCCATCATCTTTTAAAAGGTTGTATGCACATTGCATTTACCTCACGGA